TTACATATTTATGATTTTCATAAACAGGCAACCGGATCTGGGATGGATGAAGAGATTACAGAAAATACTTGGCCGGAAACACCAGCGTAATCTTCATGTATGTAGTCCGGGATTCTTCCTCCAACCCCACCATACTCTGTTCTATGATTTTATGTGCAATAACCTGTCTGTTATTTAGTTGGTATCTCTTTCTATGGTGTAGGCATTTTATATTCTTCATCCAACCATTGGTTTGAAAGCTGCAATTCTTGCATTGCAGTTGTTTGTCGATAACGAGGTATGGCTGATCTCTCTCTTCCCACTCACAAAATAACAAGTCTAAATTTGGAATAACTTGTTCTTTCCTAGTAGTTCTGAATTTTTTAAACTGATTTTAGGTTTGGAAGAAGGTGGTATACATGATTGTCTTCTACAACTATTCGAGTATGTTCTCTATGAGCAATTAGTAATTCCAGATTTCGTGTTTCAGTTGAGTTTTCACGCTTCTAGTAAATCATTTTAGTTATTCAATTTATATTACCTAGAGATAGCGAGTTTTTGCCTTGGCCATGTTTTGTTATAAGTGGTCGATAACCTTTGGCACCGCCCATGTTCATCCCTTTGGTTTCATATAAGTAATGCTATTTGTACATTATTGTGTACGTAATGGTGTACAAATAGATGACATAGAAGAGAGAGAAATTATAATAACTAAGTTTCTTTTCTTTCTGTCTCTTTTTTTTTTTCTCATTCTCTCTCTTACATGTCATCTATCTGTACACGAATATGCACACAATGATATACAAATAGCATTACTCGGTTTCATATTATGGCAAAGGCTACAGGAAAAAAATAGTAGTTATTGTTGAGGCATATTTGAGACGGGGTGGGCCCGACGAACCGAGCTTGGGATGGAAACCTGAACATGATTCTGGGTGATATAGGATTGATTGCATTTGTACCATCAGTTATGGTTTCTTGGCAAAGTAGTGACAATACCCTACATCACTTGACAAGTAACTTTTAAGCTTAGCCATTTAGGACTTCCTCTTTAACTTATTCTTGAAAATATCAATGCAGGCATGATTTAGAAGTAAATGGAGGGAAGGGCCTAATTTTCGATCCAAGGATGAAGTATGTCAATCAGCAGCGATAGATATCTTATGAAAAGCTATCGAAATTTAGCTGTTGTGCGAAGAAATCGAGCATGTTGTTGACATCGTTTTTTTTTTTCCTTCGTATATTTCAATTTCTACTTCCGTCAGATTGTTAATTTCCTCATTAGCATCCCATTTTTTCCTGTGTTGGAAATGTTCTGTGCGCTGATGGAAATAACTTTTTCTTATTTTTTGTTAATTGATTATTCGTTGTACTTATTATTTTCAATGGGAGTGTTGCTTGGGTTACAGAAGTGGGGCTTCTGAGATCACACACAAGGAGGGGGAGGGGGAATTTGAACCAATTTTTAATCAAGCGGCCCCGCATCGGGACCTACCTCATGTGAGGGTCGGTAAGCCTTCTGTGAACCGACCCTCTGTACATGTAGATTAATTATTTCAATGGTGACTAACGGCGCAAACCCTATTGAGAAAGGGATTCTTTGTTAAAACACCCGGTCAAACCAAGTAGTTGGAAAAAAGACCCTTTACCAATGTTTATTGGTCAAATAGCCTTAATTAAAAAATACAATAAATAAACATGGCAACTTGTCTAAAATATCCCAAACAAGTAAAAGACTCATACACCCTTTTCATCACATCAAATTCACC